CCTTTTCCTTCCCTCCTATCCTCCTCCCAAACCCCACCCGGGCTACCTTGTCAGTTCTCTCCCTCTTTTTATAATTAATTAATAAAGAATACATGATTTTTAAATGATAGTGACTTTATTTCCTTTGAAAGCAAGCTGTGATTGAAGGGGGCGGGTGGGTTGCTTACAGAGAATGAGTCAATCAAGTGGACGGGTTTTCATCAAGGAGAAACAAACAGAACTTTCACACCGTAGCCTGGCCAGTCATGAAACTGGTTTTCAAAGCTTCTCTGATGCGCAGTGCTTCCTGGTGTGCTTTTCTAATCGCCCTGGTGTCTGGCTGCACAAAATCAGCGGTCAGGCGATTTGCCTCAGCCTCCGCCCCGCCATAAAGGTCTCCCCCTTACTCTCACAGAGATTGTGGAGCACACAGCAAACAGCAATAACAATGGGAATATTGGTCTGGCTGAATTCTGAGCGAGTCAGTAACATGCACCAGTGACCCTTTAAACGTCCAAATGCACATTCTACCACCATTCTGCACGTGCTCAGCCTGTAGTTGAACAGCTCCTGACTACTGTCCAGGCTGCCTGTGTATGGCTTCATGAGCCATGGCATTAAGGGGTAGGCTGGGTCCCCAAGGATAACCATAGGCATTTCAACATCCCCAATGGTTATTTTCTGGTCTGGGAAGTAAATCCCTTGGTGCAGCCGTTTAAACAGATTAGTGTTCCTGAAGACGCGAGCGTCATGAACCCTTCCCGGCCATCCCACGTTGATGTTGGTGAAATGTCCCTTGTGATCCACCAGTGCTTGCAGCACCATTGAAAAGTACCCCTTGCGGTTTATGTACTGGCTGCCCTGGTGCTCCGGTGCCAAGATAGGGGTATGGGTTCTATCTATCATCCCACCAGAGTTAGAGAATCCCATTGCAGCAAAGCCATCCACTATGACCAGCACATTTCCCAGAGTCACTACCTTTGGTAGCAGCAGCTCAGTGATTGCTTTGGCTACTTGCATCACAGCAGCCCCACACTAGATTTGCCCACTCCAAATTGATTCCCGACTGACTGGTAGCTATCTGGCATTGCAAGCTTCCAGAGGGCTATCGCCACTCGCTTCTCAACTGTGAGGGCTGCTCTCATCTTGTTATTCTGGTGCTTCAGGGCAGGGGAAAGCAAGTCACAAAGTTCCATGAAAGTGCCCTTACGCATGCGAAAGTTTTGCAGCCACTGGGAATCATCCCAGACCTGCACCACTATGCGGTCCCACCAGTCTGTGCTTGTTTCCCGGGCCCAGAATCGGCATTCCACAGCTATAACCTGCCCCATTAACAGCATGATCTCCAAAGCACCAGGGCCCGTGGTTTGAGAGAATTCTGTGTCTATGTCCATGTCCTCATCACTCTTGTGGCCACGCTGCCGTGGCCACCTCCTCCTCGCCTGGTTTTTCAGGTCCTGGTTCAGCATAAACTGCACGATAATGCGTGAGGTGTTTACAATGTTCATGACTGCTGTCTTGAGCTGAGCGGGCTCCATGCTTGCTGTGGTATGGTGTCTGCAGTGTTCACCCAGGAAAAAAGGCGCGAAACGGTTGTCTGCCATTGCTTTCATGGAGGGTGGAGTGAGGCTGTACCCAGAACCACTAGCGACAATGTTTTTTGCCCCATCAGGCATTGGGATCTCAACCTAGAATTCCAATGGGCGGGGGAGACTGTGGAAACTATGGGATAGCTATCCACAGTGCAATGCTCCAGAAGTCAATGCTAGCCTCGGTACATGGACGCACACCGCCGAATTAATGTGCTTAGTGTGGCCGCATGCACTCGACTTTATACAATCGGTTGCCAAAAATCAAATTCTGTAAATTCGGAGTAATCCCATAGTGTAGACATACCCAAAGATAGGGGACAGAAGAGGTATTAGCAATCCCCCACACCTTCCAGAGAATACAAGGATTCCATTGGGTTATGGTTGTTCCTGACACTGGCTTCCACAAAGGGAGTGGTCAATGAATGGGGAGATGATGAGGCCAGTAGAGATAGCTGGGTAGAGAGAAAAGCAGATGGAGCAATTTCTCCGAAGGTAATGCAATGACTGTGCTCCCTTTGTGCCCCGGGAAGAATTTTACAAACAGAAAAAATAATTCCTGGAATTCCTGCTGGGATGAGGAAACTATGTATCATCCCTTAAACAGTGCTGTGGCTATATGCTCTTAGACTCTCTATACAGTGCTGCATGCAGCCAACAATCCAGAGTCTCATTAACAGCAATGGGCATTAATGAGATAACACACTTCCTATAATGAATTACTCTTGAACAATTTCTCCCACGCTTTGGGCATAAGTAAGGTTTATTTCATCATCAGTGAGGCCTCTCTTACTTACTATTTTATATTGGACTTCTGCAGTATTCGTAATGGAAGTACAGTTGAGAATTCAACCCTTCACTTTTGTTTGATTTTTCCCCCCTTTGTTCCCTGGTGTACAAGATTGCATTCCAAGGGCTAAATTAACCCTTTTGTAATTCCATGGAGTCAATATAGCTACAGATGGAATGAATTTTGTACCGTTTGTTTTTGGGGGGCTTTTTAAAAAATATGACCCCCCTTTTTAGGTGCCCATACCAGAGATGTAATCTTGAATCATAGCACCAGCATGGATTTCTTAGGGCATATTTATTTTTCCTCAGCTTAGTCTCTGGAGATCGAGTGGGATATCTGACTAGAGCTGGCTGAAAAATGGAAATCCCTTCCTATGAAAATGTTTTTGAAAACATTTTCACCCCAATTTGGGACAAAATGTCAAAAAATGAGAGGACCAAAAGAGATTTTTTTGTCTCGCCAGCTACCTGCCTAGAAGCCTCTTGCCAATTTTGTTTTCTCCCTGCACGTTCCTCTGTAGCCATGAAACAAATCACACTGACTGAAAATTCCCAACCAGTTCCACATTTGACCTAAGGCTGGGCAAAAACATTCTAGTAGCAGCAGGATTTAGGAACATCAGGTTGAACAAAGTCAAGGAAATTCACCCTATGCCATGAAACCAGCTATTGCGAGTTACTATCAACTATGCACTTGATTCGGGCTCTTCATAATGTTCAGCATCAGTTTAAAGACTTACCTAAAAGTCCTCATGTGCTTAAAGAAGAAATAATCGTGTGCATATCTGAAAGCCATGTTCAAAAACACAATCTTAGAAACCCTGACCAAGTGCAACTACACAACTTTGTACTTTGGATCTTGTAAATACTGAATAAGCTTGGAAGATCTGCTACTCTAGAACCCAAAATAGAGGCCTAGATTCACCACTGGCTGGCACCTTATTGTGACGGGTTGGGTCACAGAGACCAACTTGGGACTGCCACCTGATGTGCTGAGCCCATCTCTGAGCCCATTTTCCCTGGGAGCTTGGGATTTCAGTACCCTGCCTTGTTGAGCCAGACACACTAGCCTGCTACAAACACAGACCCAGGTCTAAACCACATCCCCCAAAAGCTGCAGATTTAACTGAAAACAGCTTAGAAAGTGCTCCTGTTTCTAGCACCCAAATACCCAGTTCCCAATGGGATCGAAACACCAAATAAATCCGTTTTACTCTGTATAAAGCTTATACAGGGTAAACTCATAAATGGTTCACCCTCTATAACACAGAGAGAGAGAGAGAGAGAGAGAGAGAGATGCACAGTTGTTTGCTCCACCAGGTATTAATACTTGCTCTGGGTTAATTAATAAGCAAAAAGTGATTTTATTAAATATAAAAAATAGGATTTAAGTGGTTCCAAGTAATAACAGGCAGAACAAAGTAAATTACCAAGCAAAATAAAACAATAACATGCAAGTCTAATCCTAATACAGTAGGGAACTAAATGCAAGTAATTTTCACCCTCAGAGATGTTCCAATAAGCTTCTTTCGCAGACTAGACTCCTTCCTAGTCTGGGTCCAGGAATCACTCACATCACAGTAGTTACTGTCCTTTGTTCCAGTTTCTTTCAGGCATCTCTTTGGGGTGGAGAGGGTATCTTTTGAGCCCTCTGAAGACAAAATGGAGGGGTTTCCAGGGCCTTTTATATTCTCTCTCTTGTGCAACATCACAGCCACAAGATGGAGTCTCTAGCTGCCTGGGCAAGTCACATGTCTATGAATGATTCTGCTTTTTGCAGGCAGATGCCATTGTTTACATGTTAGTTTGAACGTTCTCAGGAAAGCTCAGATGTGGATTGGGGTCTCCCAAAGTCCATTGTTAGTTAAATACTCCCAATTACTTGAATAACCCCTTCACACTATGTTGACCAAATCTGCCTTATGTGCTTCCTACAGCAAACACTTTAAATACAAGCATAGAGCCAACGCTCATAACTTCAGATATAAAAATGATACATGCCTACAAATAGGATGAATATATTCAGTAGATCATAACCTTTGCAAGGATATGGTACATGGCATATCTAGCATAAAACATATTCCAGTTATGTCATATTTACACTCATAAGTATATTTCTATAAAGCACTATGGGGTGCAACATCACACTTATGTCACCATTTATATCTGTGAAAATCTGTATAAAATGCTACCAGTTTGACCTGGTGTAAATAACTACTCACAATGCCAAGGCACTGGCGAACCAAGGCTGGTATCTTAGATTTTGGCAATTATTTTTCCCTCTGTTTATCAAAGTACCAACCTCTATCACCTCAAGCCCCTCGCCTGGAAGCAGCTCAGATACAAGTCGTACCTACTGGCCTCTCTGGAGAAAGCATTGTTTCCCACTCCCCTCACCTAAACAGTTATTTAGAGTACTCTGAGCTGAATAACACTAATCCAGGGACTAAAATATTGCTTTGCCATGATGCCTAAAAAAACACAATCTGGCATTGGTCGTGGCAGTAACCACCTATAACTACTGAGACTACTATTAGGATTGATATATACAAATACACCATATTTCTACTATTACCGTGTCCTCCCCATCCCCTTCTTCCAACCCATCACTCCCCTCCTCCCATTTGTCACTTTATTTACTTGTGTTATATTGTCTAAATCCTAGATGTTGAGCTTCCTAGGGCAGAAACTGTCTTTGTGTTATATGTTTGTATAGTGCTTAGTACAATGTGGCTCTGATCCTGACTGGAGTCCTTACATGCTATCACAAAAGAAATCATAAATAACAATAGTAATCACATTTCTAAATAATAATACTTTGAAAATATAGACTATTCACAGGGCTCAAATTGCTTTACAAAAGTGTGCAAGCAGAATTAATGTTTTTCTATGAGAAATGAAGAAACTGTGACATAGAAAGGTTTTGATCTGCCCCCATGTCACACAATGAATCCAAGGCAGAGTCAGGTTAGATTCCTTGGGACAGTTCCTCAGTTTGTGTAAACTGTCAGAGCCTCAAGGATGAGGGGCAGGATTAACCTAGCCCTCTGAGCTATGACAATTTATACAAGCTGAGGATTTGTCTCATCTCTCAAGTCCCAGCCGGTGCTCTATTCACTGGACCATGTTGCCTCCCTAAAACATGTGCACTTAATATCTTCTATGTAAGTAACATCATGTGCTCATTTCGGCAGCATGTTTCTTTTCCAATTTTTGGTTCTAAGAATGTTTTAGACTCCCAACACACAGTTGTCGCTTGAGTTCCTTCTTCTGAGATAGGACTCAGAATTATTGTGACTTCTGATGTTTGACTTGGAAGCTTTCACTGGCATCAGGTACCGAAGGTTCTTCCAAAATCTGGAATTCGAGGGAAGAGACTTATCCTCTTTCCACTTCACAACTCTCCTGGATGGTAGAAGCTCCAGTGATTTTGGCAGGACATTATAATCACTGATAAGCATGTATTCAATTAATATTATTTTAATCTTCCTTTCAACCAGTGCCTTATGCAGTCCAGTCTCAAGTTCATACATGGCTCTGTCAGAAATGTAGTTCCGGCTCAGTATAATGATTAATCTTCTGCTTTTGTCAATAAATGACTGGACATCATCAACAACAGCTGTAAATTGAAAGATACAGTCACTATTAAAATCATTTGAAAGTACAGGCATTCACTCAAGACATCTTTTAGCAGTAGTAATAATATTGTATATATTTCAAAGTGACTAAATTACTGTATGTTTTGTTCCTTCCTAATCTATCATACTACTAAATAATGTGAAAAAAAGAAAAACAAATAATCTCAGATGTTTAATTCTGATCAATTTATGCAAAACAGCAATGGAATCCTAATTTGCCTGTAGTCAGCATACATTTCTTTCATGTTGGAAAGCAATTACAAACCAACATATCAGCTCTGGCTATTCCTTATTTAACAGAAAAGGTCATCCATAAAGGTCCATCCTGAGCATAAGAGTACCTCCAAATTAAGTCATCAGCCAGGCACAGCTAACCACTTCCTGTAACATTCACTAAATTTGTAACCCTCACTTTACTACCTTTTGTACCACCAGATACCTTCTTACCTTCTTATTCAGTAATATCAGTACCACAGATAACCAAGTCTGTGTAATACTTGCACCCTCTGCCACACGTAACAGTATAGATTACTATAGAATGACATTTAGCAAACCATTATTTCACAGGTTTTCAAAAACAGTGCTTTCTTAAAACAGGGATTGCAGAACAATTTTGTTATTAAAAACAGTGAATGAAATTCAATGGAGAAGCCCTATATCCTGCAAGCAATATGTAACAATATGCTCATGCAGGCCATAGCTTTATCTAAAGATTTTTTCCCCTATAGACCTCAGAACTACATGGAATCCCACTGTACTGTCTGAGAATTGCAGCCTTTGTAAAAGGGTCATCTATTTATAGACTTTGTATATTCAAAATTCCACGTTTTCGCATCTATTTTAAATATTTCTGCAGCACCCATCACATAGGTGTCAACTATAACTCTGAGTCAGTTTTAATAAAAGCTGCTTCATCGTCTACATTTTAAAGATTACAGAAATAGTTAATATAGTGTGCCATGGGGAAAATGTGTGTTTCATAGCACAGATACAGCAAAAGCAATTGTATTGTAAAGCCAAGCTTAATGAAGCTTGGCTTTACAATCATTAAGATCTCTCAGGTTTCTGAGAAGCTGTAAGCAGAAAGGTTTCTGAAAAGGAAGAAAGCCAAAAGCAGAACTCTCACACTCATTCTGTGGTAACACCAGAGCTAAATTGTTTTTCTCCTCTGAATTAATCTCAGAATTTAACTAGATAAAGGGCAATGTTCTACCCTGCACAGATTATTCTTGTTTGGGGGGGGAAGAGTGATATATTTTAGCTGATAGAATTTCATGGTCTTTGTTCCATCAGGGCTCAAAATCTGCTCCAGTTCCATACATTGCTGGAAAGAGAAAAGGTGTTGACCTTCTAAAGCTAGTGGGTCTTATAAAATCTGTACAAATCCTGGGAAATCTGATGACGGTCTTGTCAATGGTTGACCTGCCCCCAAGCTGCACTGTAGTAGCCAAGGTAGGGAGTTTATGGGTGCTAATGATGCCTGAAGAAGCATTAAGTCACAGTTTGTATTCCTAAGAGCAGAAAAGAACATGGCACAGAGAGTTGCTGCTATCATGCTGCACCCTCTCTCATTCTTGTCTCTGAAAGCTATGGATGCCCAATCTTGCAGGAAGGGAAAGAGCATGTCATAGCGCTAGTACTCCCCCATCCTCCTCTATGCACCTAGTCGATGATCCAAAGACCATTCAAGTCAATAGTAATCTTTCCATTAATTTCAATAGCCTTTGGATCAAACTCTTCTTTTGGTTACCTCCACACACTGAAATGAAGGACAGAATAAGTCTAAACTTTCTAAACAGCCTCTGATTTTGTATGCATGTCATTTGATGTGTATTTCTGTCATTTGTATCTCAAAAGAGAATCCCCTTTGAAAATGTGACACTTAAGCAAAAATGCCACATTTACAGAGATCTTTCTAATTACAGATCCTGGCATCTTTGTGAGAATTTTGTACCAGTTTAATACCAAGGACATTCCATTTGCTTACCTCCTCCAGGAGACACATCCCGCTCAAATATACACAATTTGTAACCAAAATGGTCTTCTAATGTCCTGGGCAATATCTCCAGAGCAAATTTTCTTTCTTCTACGTTGGTAGATATGGAGTCTTTCAGATAAGACACAAAAGCATCATATTCTTTTCCATCTGGAAAAAAATGACCAATTTTTGTCCTGTTGGTGACTGAACAGATCTGACTCATTACACACATGATAGCTGACCCTTCACCCTGACCCTTATAATACTGCACCACTGGCAACCATTTTGAGATAAGAGATTTCTCTTATCCATCCGTCCAGTCACCTTTCACACAAAATACCCAGGATCAATTTCAATCTGACACAAATAGATCTACCCACTTTGTTTTCCCAAAAGGTTGCAAAAACTGTATCCCCTTTTTGTTGAAAATTATTGAAATATGAAATTTCTTGACCAGCACTAATCATACCTAGTTAAACTGAACTTATTGATAGAAACTTGCATCATTAAAATGTGGTTTTACCCTGAAAAGTGAGTCTGTAAAAACAGCATTGTGGGATTCCAGGTTTCTTTCAGTTCTTCTCCTACATAAAGACTGTGAACCACTTTGAGATTTGCTGATGAAAAAGCACTATATTATTTGCTGATGAAAAAGAGCTAGGTATTATTATTATTCCACTATTGGGTAGTGTTGCAGTGTGGAGATTGTCAAAAGGAAAAAAAAATCAGGATATATTTTATTTTATGTATTTAGATTTATAATAGCATAACAAAAAAAGGCACCTTCTCAGGCCATAAGTGGTGTTGGCAGTAAGTCACACACACACACACACACACACACACACACACACACACACACACACACACACACACACACACACTAACCCAAACAAATAAAGAACTAACTACGACACGACTACAC